AAATACGAGCATTCTAGCACAGAATATGGCATTTTGAGAGAAGGAAGTCTAATCCTTAAATGAAGATGCATTCCACTCCTTTGTTGGCAATCTTTCCCAGCAACAGAATATATGAATGGCTGAGTGCATAGAACCCGGGAGATAAAATGCTCCTTGCAATAGAAAGCATTTTCTGCTTACATAGAAGAAAGCATTTACCAAAAATGGTGGTGGAAGAGGACAGAAGAAATCAAAAATTAACCTGTTCAGGGCCCTAACAGTTTACCCGCATTGATACTGGGGAAGCTATATCATGAGGGTAAAATAAAAATCTCCTGCACTGTGTGGGAACATTTGAGAAAGAAGGAAAAGGAGACCTTCTTCACAGATTTCCCCCACCCTCCACCTTGCTAATACAGTCATAAATGTAGGCTAAGACACAGCCCCAAATGTGCATTCTCTAGTGTCAAATGGGACCGTCCCTCTTATGCATAGGAGATATGCTACAACATTTTGTTGCAATCCCACTTATTTATTCTGTTTTCCAATTGCCACAATCCAGTCTGATTTCTTAATCTCCTGGTTGCCCAAAATTGTGCGGCTATATACTTCTGCTATTGGACATAGGAAGGGTTTGGTTCAGAGACAACAGCATTTTTCAAGTAACAGAACTGATGAGATGTTGACTTCCCAGCACTACCTTGAGTACAGATGCTTGCTGTATGGGAAATTTTGTGGCCCACCAGAGATTTTGGCATATAACTCCAACTTCCCTCACCACTGGCTATGCTGGCCAGACTCGGTGGTAGTAGAAAAGCTAAAATATGTGGAAAGAACAACATGCTTTAGAAGAGCAAGAACAAGGAAACAAATCCCAAACACAGTGTAGTCAAATGAGTGAGGGCTGGCATGAAACTAGTCAAGCAGCCACCAGTCAAAGAGAGAAAATCAGCAGTAGACAGTACTGAAGAAGGCTTCATGAGGGGTTCACAGGGGGAGTGCATGCTGAGCACCTGGAACATCAGCAAATGGATGGTGCAAATTAGCACGAATGTGAATGTAAATTAGATACGTTAGGGGTTTAAAGCTGCTTTTCATTTGTAAAAGTTATTACATTTTCTACCATTCTATTTATGAAGATGGTAGAAAGACTGGTGCTATGCTGCGATAGTTATTACACCTGGGGGAGGGAGCCCCCATCTCCATTCAGTGCAAATCCTAACAACTCAGTTCTACACACAATAGTTTTAGCACATGTGCCAAGTGAGGTTAATGGAACCTTTTATACTAGTAAAAGTCTTTCCAATTGCAGGCTGACATCCTTTCATGTGCAAACATGTTGAAGGGAACTTAGCTCAGGCAAGACGCTTAGCATGTCCTTAGCATTTACCACCAGCGAAGCTATAAAATCCCACCAACTAGGCAACTGTCACACTGAAGGAGCTGCTCATTCATGTGGTATATACAATCAAGAGTGGGACTCATCTTTGACAGGTGAAAAAGAGATATGGGAGTAACATTGCCTCATGATCACACTCTGACTAAAAGCGCATGAGCTAAATATGCCATAAGGGCCCCATTTTCAAGCTGACAGCTAAAGCACACCAGTTTTATAGGCAAGTAATTGGAAGACACATTTGCTCATACCATGAAAATGATCCCAAAGCTGATAGCTCAGGCGTTGGCCTGTCATGGCTTTCCTGGAGTTTTGGCCTACAACTCCCATCATTCCTCACCACTGGTTATGCTGGCTAGGGCTAATGAGAGTTGCAGCCCTCTGAATGTTTTGACCTGCAATTTAACCACCCTGGGGCAGCTAAATCCATAGCCTAAGAGTAGTAAAAGAAAGCCCAAACCATTGCTCCAACTCTTGCTGAAGACAGGATTTAGTCATCTATCCACTGCAAATAATCCTGATAACAGTAGAACACAGAGATGAGAAGCCACGCTGTGTATGTAGCTCCAGGTGCTTTTTACAAGGACGAAGATGCCCACTTTCACTGAATCATGCAATCCAAACACATATACTGAATATGATTGTTTCTTACATGAAATAGAATTGTCCTGGTCAAGTAATAAGGCATCAAAAATGATGCCTTATTAAGGTTTTGTAACATAAATTACAAATAAAAGTTTTTAACAGTTTTAAATTCCTTTAAATAGCACCAACTGAAGTAATTCTTTTTCCTTGTCAGAAGATTTCTGGCAGGAATAGAAAGTACTTCCACTATCAATTATTTAACTATAAAAAGGCAGAAAATGCATTCCCTTCTACTTTCAGTCAGTACTGTCACCCTAAGGACAAAAGGACAGTTAGATAACTGAAGACACACATTTTTAAATACAGTATAGTTCAAAAACTGTTTTTTGTCAAAGCATTATTTAAAAAAAAACCCCATGGGCACAGCTCTGTTCAATCTGATTAAGACCAGCATCAAAAGGAAAATACAATTGATAAATACATTTTGTTAATTCTGTAGGTTCATAAGTGTTCTTCTGACACCTGATAAACAATGAAAACGGGTGTTTCTGATAATGTTGTGCATTGACGTGCACTATTCTTACTTTGTTACTGGACACACTCAGAAATTGCTGTGCAGAAGTAGCCTCAGGCTTCATCCAGACTACTTCCTGGACAGAGGAAAGCCAGAAATAGAATTTGACCTTTTCTTAATCCCACCCCCCGACCCAAAAGCCTCTCCTTCACTCATGTACTGCCACCATGCTTCAAGCAGCTATGTTTAACTGTCCTTCCACGATTTCTGCCAACAGTCTGACAAACAGCTCTTAAGATTCTTTTAACCCAGGGATTCAGAGCCTCTTTCAGCCCAAGGGCCAAATTCTATCATGGAGAAGCTTTTGGGGAGCACATTCCAGTGTCGGGCAGGACTATAGGCAAGAGCAGCAGAACTAAAAATACCAGAATATTTTGGCTTAGAAGTTTAATTTCAATAACCAGCCCTTAGGAAAGCCATTTCAACCTTTTAGAATTGGTGGGGACTGCAAGAAAGCTTGGGAACCACCAAGTGATCAGTGCTAAAGAAAGTGGAAGAAAGTACAGCCATCTGGGAATCCTGGGGGCATAATGGGAAACCAGGACGGGCAGATTTGGCCTGTAGACCTGAGGTTCTACTCCACTGTTGCAACCCTTAAAGCCTAATTTAAGAGAAAATCACCAATATGGTGAACAGCCAGCGCACAGCAACATTTAGACATACAAAAACCCACATTCAGATTATACATCAGCCAAGTCAGCATCTGAATTTGTGTGAAATGTATCTTGTGAGAGTACAGGGAGATCCCTGTGTATGTACCATGAATTCACTGAAGAAAACTACACATTGCATATACATGGTTGTGTGAAATTACACATCACAAGACATTAGCCTACCACAGGCAACAGGTCATTATGGGTTGCCATGTCCTGTGAACCCAGACCATTACCAAGAGGGTGGCATGTTCTACAGGTTGCTATACTCACAATGAATTATTATGTCGTCAGAACCCAGATGACTGACCCTGCCATGGGTAGCAGAAAGAAGTATGGGGCTTCTTAGCAAGGACAAAAAAGCCCCTTGCTGCTCTTACCAAGCTTGCCTGGGCCACTGCCAGTGCTAGCTGCCCCACAAGTGCCCAACTGGTGTTTTGGGGTGACTGTCTGTAGCTTGGTCCATGCTGCTGCAATCAGAAGTCCTTTTTGGGTCTCCACAGTATTTTCCCTCTTTAGTTTTATCTTCCTCCACACCCCGAGACATCACAAAGGGTAATTTCCAAGGTGACAGCCTCTTGAATGTGCACAAGTGGCACATGGAAGGGAATGTCACCAGATGATCACGTTTAACAACAAATTTAAAAAAAATGGAGACCTCAATATGTGTGTGTGTGGGGGGGGGGGAGCTGCTTTTTAAATAACTGTGTAGGTCCAAAATAGTTGTGAATGTCTGTGGGTCCAAAATGGGCCTCCTCATCTGAGCTAATCAAGGGTCTGTCACAGGGACAGATGTATTTACAAATTTCCTAGTCAACCTGCACCCCCCAATTAGCACAGACAAAAGCCTGAGAATTTGACCACTGTCAAAAGAGCACCTAGTTTTTTGGAAAAGAGCAAAAAAGGTGCAGGAGACTGAGAGGAGTCAGGTCCATCCAAAATACTAGAAGGTATCTCACTATGAAGGATCTAATGGCCACCTCACTCCACAAAGATCACTGGCCGTCAATTCAGACATCACCATTTATGATTGCCAAAAATAAGAGAAGGTGGAGGAGGAAACCACTGCAATCAAGGCAAGAGGAGAGAAGTCAGGGCAGAAGGCAGAACCCGTCATGAGCCGGGCTGTCCATCTGGGCACCCTGTGGGTTGTTTGAGAAACAGCCAGCTCACCGTGGCTTATTGCCAGAGTGGATCACCATAACATGCGATCCTGCAGGAGACGACCCCAGCAGCAATCCAAGCTTTGGGAAAGGCAGGAGTGATGAGAAAGAAGCCCTGTCCTCTACCTCCAGATGCCACAAGCCTGAAATCAGCCAAGGTCTGCCTTACACAAGACGTGCCCCATTATCACTTCCCTTCACAACAGCCTTGCAGCCTGGCTTGTTGTTTTTCCTCCAAGTGAAGAGGCCTCTGCTCTGCCCAATCAGATCTAAATTTCCTCAGTAACATGATTCTGTGTGACCCAAAACCTCTCTGACTTGAAAAGTTCAAGGTTGCTTTAAATTTCGGGGAACAAGTTAGGGTTGTTTTTTGAGAGGAGGACAAGTAAAGGTGGATAACACTGAGGGCAGAGCAACCGTCTACTGTGGAAGTAGCTTCCTTTGTTCTTATATGCCATTATACACAGTAAAATCTCAACCTTCCTCCAGCAAACATCTACTATCCTTTGAAAAGGAACAGAAAGAAGTTTGGAGGGTCCCTTGTTTATACAAAGGATAGCAAATAATAGCCAAAAACACCTGCTCAAAGATCTGGAGCTATCATGCAGCAGAAAAGTAGCACATAACAGCTGAAGTACAATCTTACTTACCAAGTGCAGGTTGACTGCTCTCATTCCAAGTACTATTTTCTTGAGAAGACATTTTTGTTGCATAGGCTTTAACCCACCAAGGTTTGTACTTCAACAGATGGCAAACAGCTTCATCTTCAAAGAAGTCAGCTCTGGAAAAAGAAAATGATTCATGCATTACACACTGTGATCCAAGTGTTCACACTATGGAGTAGTTTCTTAACTATGAGTACCACAAATGGCACTTTCATAGTGACTGGGTTCAAATGACACGACAAACCATAATGCCCTGCTACCCATGATAGGTTGCTGTGTCATTTGAAGCAAGGCCAGGTTAAAGGGGAAGAAAGGCTTGGTAAGCCCAAATGCTTACAGCAGTGAGTGGAGAACAACTCACTCTTCCCAGTGTCTCCTGGAATACCTACAAAAGGACCAAGCCTGGAGAAAGGGGCCAGCAACTCATGGGGAGCCTAATCATTTCTCAGGCTCACTGTGAGTGGTTCATACAACAAGCAACCAACCAACCGTGGCATATTACCAGTGTGCATTGACATGATGTGTGAATGTGCTGATCATGTTTGCACCCAACCTGAACTGGGCCCCTCTCACCCCCTCCCTCCAACCACCTGTCACCGCCGCCATAAGAGTCATGATGCTCAGACTTAGTGTGAGTGGATAATTGAAAACGTATGTTCAATTATTTAGAAATAGCAAACAATTCGCACATTGTAACATCCAAAAACACAAGCAAAACCAATCAACATTATCCACTAAATAGTTATGAAGAACGACCAAAATAAAGCTGCCCATTTGGAAGAATACAAAGCATGCATTCCATTGGCAAATTTAACTGATTCTAGGAAGGTAAGGAGGTTCCAACAGCAAGCATGTCAAATATTGTACTTTATCTTCATTTGGCCTATTTGGGGAGTAATTTCTTTAAATTGTCATCTATTTCATTGAAACATTCTAGAAATCGTGCTTAAGTGCAGCCTAAGGTAGGAGCATAAAACTACTACTCTCTGCTCAGCACCTGAAGATACAGACAAACCAGAATACTCACTTTCTGAGAAAGCATAAAGAATATTGAGCAATGGGGCTGCTGGTAGATCTAGCAAAACAACCACTCCCTGGCACTGGGCTCCATACACTTAAACAAAGAGGGCCTTATCCCACCCCCAATTCCAGCAGCCTTCGTCTCAACACACATTCTGACTTTCGGTCAATGTGGAAAAGGAACTTTGGATATTTATGTGCATATGTGTGAGTATATATGTATACATTTATTTATTTAGAAAATTGTTTCAATCCTAAATAAGTTAACCATTGCACACTGAGCATAAAACTAATCCATTTAAAAATGTAAATAAATCTAACACAATTAAAATCACTGTATGTTAAAATATTGGTCAAATAAAAAGGTCTTGACTTGGAGCTGAAAAGCATATAATGACGGCGCCAGGCGGACCTCTCTAGGAAGCGCATTCCATAGTCGGGGCGCCACCGCAGAGAAGGCTCTCCTCCGAGTACTCTGCCTCCTGACATCTTTCAAAGAGGGTTCCCAGAGGAGGGCCTCTGCTACCAATCTTAGGGGGCGGGAGGGCATATAGGGAAAAAGGCATTCCTTTAGGTATCCTGGTCCCAAGCCATTTAGGGCTTTATAGGTAATAACTAGCACCTTGAATTGAGCCTGGACTTCGATGGGAAGCCAATGGAGCTGATAGAGGACTGGAGTTATGCGAGAATTTTTTTTATTTATTTTATTTATTAAAACATTTTTATGCCGCCCCATTCGCCGAAGCCTCGGGGCGGCTTACAGCAATAACGCCCAGTCCCTGACAGCATCCTGGCCACTCTATTTTGCACAATCTGAAGTATCCAGACACTGTTCAAGGGCAGCCCCATGTAGTATATTACTAGTAACATTAGTAGTACAAGGCCAGTTCAGTGTATCCCTAATTGTTCTGGTGTGGCTATATGTTGTTGTGCTTAGTTTTCCTTGTTGAAAATATATTTTAAAAGAATGTTGAGCAAAAGTGTCTGGATAAGAGTTCAGGGATCTTCAGTTCCTATGCTCATGCTACTCCATTCATTGTGTATCTAGCTATTTAATGGAACACTGAATATGAAGCAAATTAATGAAACAAGAACAAAAAGTGTTCATCTCGCTTGTCACATAGAACAGGTTGCAAAAGCCATTTTCCTTCTCATAAACTGGAGTGAGCCAATTTCCCTTATTAAATTGGAGAACCCAAAGCTACATGATCCACAATTCAGAATATTTGTGAGTTTTCCAATGCATAGTCAGCAGCTGGATAGCAACTTTTCATATAGTTTGCATTCACCCTCTGTGAATACCAACCAATGTTTTAGTCTTATTGAGAATAAAAATGTAAACCTAGATTGCATTAGTGATCATCTGCTACAGCTATCACACATATGGAAACTCCAAGATACAGCACAAAACAAAATATTGGAAGTATGCCTTTCCTAGCAAAAAAGGGGGGTATTTTAGATTCTTGCAGCAGAGGTGGGCAATTTGTTGCTCTCCAGATGCTTTCGTCTACATCTCCCATTATCTCTCACCACTGGTAATGCTGCCTAAGACTCATAGAAGCAGTAAACCAGAGCCCCTAGAGGGCCCAGCCTTATTTTATTGCTTACTGAAGTGATGCAAACCCAGATTTCACTGAAGCACAATCAGGCAAATACTTACAGATAATGATCAGGATCAAATTTGGCAGCTTCTGCTGCCCACCGTTTCTCTCTGCGTTCAACTGCTGGGATCATGTCTGGATTTTTAATATCAATAACATCATTAAGTTCATCCTGCAGAAAAAGAATGTATCAATGGCAAATGTGCAAAAGAAAAAAATAAATCAATTGTTAAACATTTAGGAAAAAGGCTACTCAGTTTTACCTCAGACTTAAGAATTCAGGTTGAAAAGCATATCAACGAACTGTTGACACGCACTGAACACCTATCTGACCGCAGTTAAATAACTTAACTGCGGTCATAACATTATGACCATAATGCAACCAACTACCACCCAGCATCCCACCCTGTAACAAGAATCTAGGTAAATGTTCACAGATACACCTTTCAATATAATCACAGTTTTTGCATTTTACGTGAAATAGAAAAAGAAATGATCAGATGCAATTGTAAGTAGGTTTCCATGAAACATTAAGTCATTGGAAAGCCTCAATAATTTGCATATATTTTTGAAAGAGTTTGTGTTTATACTACCTGATCTGACACCGGGGCCCAAATTATTTCTTTAGGAGCACGGAATTCAAAATTCTGCGAGTGCCATTCAACAGAAAGTAGTTGTTTGCATGAATTGCCATCCATAAGCTGTCTGAGTTTGGTTCATCTGTAATGCTAACTCAGAATTTGTTTTATCTTAACTCTAGATTGTTTGAATGCCTGAACCCAACCCAGGCAACAAACCACACCTTATAATTATTTTGTAACAAGCCCAATCTGAAGCCATGATTTGATTTTTGAATCTGGCCTTCCTTCAACCATGTGTGTAGGGGTCCTTGGAGAAGGAATGTGACTTGTTCTATAGATTGACTTGCTCTATAGGTTCCATCAGACACATGCCTTCAAGGGCAAGTCATATTGTTGGTTTTCTATATTAATTCAATTTATTCACAAGCATCTCCTTCTCCCTGCCAAGTTCATGACAGAAAACCTCTTTCAATCTTCCACCTAAGTGGGTTCAACCTCTCATCCACCTGGGTGCCTCTGCAACTAAGGCAATAGGCAAGGAATTTGTCCTCTTGTTGCTGGATTGTCACCTAAAGTAATGAAGCTTAGGGATCCCTGTAGGAAAAAGTTAATTTCCTAGACTGGGATCATAGTTTGCATCTCCTTTTCCTCTTCTGACAATGAGGTATAACCTCAGCCTGAGGGAGATGAAATTCCCTATTCCTTTGTCCCCAACAGTGAGGAAAGGTTTCATGGAAGCTAGCTGAATAAGCAATGGATATTTCTCTCTCAGCCTTCTCTTATTTTTCCTGTATGGTCACCCTCCATTTCCTTTCACTAACTTGCCCCCCATCTGTCTTCCTCCTCCTCTTAGCTGTGCTCTATGCTGTAGCCTCCTCTCTATCCCTGGTCTGTCTGTGCTTCTTCTATTCTACCTTCTCATCCTTCCTCTAATCCTCCCATCTAATTCTTCCTTCCGGCTTCCTTCTTCACCAGATCAGGCCGTCATCATTCATGGGCAACCTGAGTCTGACCAGCACTAGGAGACAGTCAACTCAAAACTGTGCACTGTGGCTTCGTATGTCTGAGCCTGGAAGCATGACTTATTCCTGGTGTGTTTCTCTGTTCCACCCAAGCCTCTTTGCTAATCCAGAGAGCAGGGAAAAGAGAAACCACTCCCTAACCCAAACGGCACTAGCTTTCCTTTTTCTGAACTCTCCATCACATTTATTTACTCATTTACTGCATTTAAATAAATAGATAAATGTTATTTTATTTAAAATTTTAAATAAATCTAAATCATAATATAATTTATATTGTATTATATAAACAATATAATTATATAAATTACATAATATACTATATATTATAACGTATAAAATATAAATTACAATAATTTTTAGAATTTAAAATACATAAATAACATTATAATTAAAATAAAATTTTATCACCTACAGTCAAAGCACTCTGAGCAGTTTACACAGTCCATAAAAAGAGATCTTAAAGTACAATAAAATATCATAAAATCAAACAAACTTTTAAACAGCTAAAACAAATAAAACAGACCATAACGAAGAATATGTGGGGGGGGGGGAAAGAGGAAAAATAGAGAGAAAAAGATACAGTGACTCTGTAAGATACCTGGTGAACCGCTTCACATTTCTGGGGGACTAAGCCATTAAAAGGTGCAGAAAAGAGAACTATCTTGAGCTGGCACCAAAAAGACAACAGATTTGGTGCAGTCGGGCCACACTGGGGAGGCAGGCATTTATCACCTCCCTGACCCAGTCAGTTGTTCCTTCCTTGCTGGCTTTTATAAGCCAGGAGGGGCAAGGATCTAGTGCAGAGGTGGCTGCACAAACCTATTCGAGCACCTTGCCCACATCCTCAAGCTGTACCAACTGAAACTCATCCAACAAAACTAGACCAGGCTGTGCTCTGGGTATCTCCACAGATTCGGCTGTTATAATTCTGAAGTCTAAGTCCTGGCAGAAGCAAGACACTTTTTCCCGGAAGTGCCCAGAAAGTAAACTGCAGCAGGCCTGAGATGGTTCCAAAATGTCCCTGGGTCCAGAATGGGATAAGGGCAGACAACCTTGAAAAGCTTCACCAGGCAGGGAAGAGAAGATTGGGCAGAGGCAGGCCATCAGGCCTCACTCTCCCCAACAACTGTCTTCTCTCCATGCCCATGTCTTCCTAGACTTGAAGTTCTACCCCAGCCAGAACACCTATGCTTTTTGCTCTTGCTTTGCATGGAAAGAAAAACTTTAAGAAAACTGTATGTACATTAATCAGATCCACCAAGGACTGCATGTTCAAAGCACCTCTGAGGAGGATTCCCAGACTGCTACCCCCACATGGTACAAAATAATAAAGTCTCAAGGGAACAAATACTGAGAAATTGGATTAAGGACCTTGTCTGACAGGTTAAATGTTTTCCCAGCTGTACTGTTGGGTAAATCCTTAAAGCGCTTAGCTAGTATCAGCAAAGTTCTTATCACAACACTGAGCAAGCCAAGACCTGCCCCTGGGGAGCTATTATGCCTGACCATGGGAACTGGTCTGTTTATACTGCATGACCTCTGCTGTTTAGGAGAGAGATATTAATCTTAAGAATCTCTTTTGCTAAGTCACCCTGATGAGTGGATAATATACTGCATTAAAATCAAAGAGGGTACAACAGTCACCGTTAACTGTAACTTTTCAATTACTTTTTCCAGTGGTAGAAAGGGGTTAGCCAAAAAAAAAGAAAAAAAAGAAAAAGAAATGGTCTCTATGGGGCATGTCTAGGACTGGCAGACAATTGTCAAAGTTTCTGGAGACCGCTCCATTCACTGCTTGTACATAGTAAGTTGGCTAGAGAGCTCACGAAATCCTGCTAGTCCTTTAACTCCACTAGGGCATTTAAGACACCAATTACTGGCAGAAGAAGAATTAGCTGAACAAGCTGTGATAACTTTGCAAGAGCAACTCTGGTTTGCTCAACAAACCATAGCGAGAATAAAACTCGGCTCAGTACTACGTACAAACCAAGCCCATGTATGTCCACGGCACCTTATCATTTGACCTAACTTCTTCATTGTTGAAACAGTCAACTAGCATTGTTAAGATTTGCTACAACAAGAGTTGCTTTCCACACTGAGTGTCACTCACCTGGTTTCAATCTTTATTAATCCTCATGCCACTAACACAATACATGGAGAAATCCTTAGAGATTTTTGTTTTAACCGCTTTTTGACTAGAGTCCTCAAAGTAGTTTATAACAGCAGATACACCAAGGCCCTCACACTCAAAAATCAAAAACAAACCCCCCACTGGAGCAAGTATTAACAGCTGAGGTTCCTTTCAGATGGTAGAAGACAACCTTTGACATAGGGGAGGAAAAAACCCAACAAAGTGCCCACATAACCAAGGCAATTTCTCCTATGTGCATTAGCTTGCATTAATCTATGTTGTCTCTCTCTCTCGCCACTTTACTGGAGGTGAATCCTTTCAGAGCTCTTCAGAGCCAGCTTTGAAGAATAGTTCTACAAACTTGGTCTTCTCAAAGGTCCACTTACAACACAAAAGACTGAACACCCCTTAATGCTTTCAATACTTGAATGAATGGTGTGCAGACACAACTGTGGATGAATAAATACATGGCTATTTGGTCCTCCATTTCTGAAGTTTACACACAAAATGGAGAGGAAGATTACATAAGTCATGTTGGGTTTCTTGCAGGAAAAAAGAGAAAATATGAATATAATAAATCAGGGCAGTCCAGTTTTTCCTACCTCAACGGTAGGAAAACTTTGAAGACTTTGAAAAGTCAATGAAGACTTTCACACAGAACCCAGGGGCTGCACAATGAATTACATTGCCACATCGTAAATTAAAGTGTTCACAATATATTTATTTAATGTAATATACACAATATATTTAATTAACCATTAAATTAGAGAGAAAACCAGTATGAGTTAGCTTGAGAATGCTCCTTCTCCAACCACAGCCCAAGCACAATGACTGCTCCTCTGAGGTAGCCTATCCCTTTCTCCCGTTTCTCCCTCCCAGAAATTCTCCCATGTGACCCTTCCCCCCGAGCCCCTCTTTCTTTCTCGGAACCGGCACACTGAGGCTCTTGTACTTGAGCTGATGCCCTCTCCCCAGCAAGCCCCACACCACTCCTGCTGAGTAGAGAGGTGCTCAGCTCCTGAGTGCCCTTGCACTCGTCAGCTGGAGCAGCACAGGGCATGCCAGGGTGAACTCTTATGAGGTCGCTGGACCATCCTGCTCTTTCTGAGGAAGCTGCTCCAGTAAGTAAGGCAATTTGAAAAGGCATCACAAGACCCTCCAAATGTGGACTGAGCAGTCAAAAATGGCTGGGTATAGGAACAGAGAAGAGGGGAGCCTGTGCCAGCCACTCCCAAGTGCTGTTTGGACACTCCTGGGATATGTGGCTGTAGCCGGGGATAGCTCAGAAAGCAACAAGGGATTTCTTGCCACTTTTGCAGAATGAATTACTGGTTGTCGGACTTCATGTGATCAGTCACATGGGTTCAGGTGACACAACAACCATGTGCTCAAAATAAAACTCATAACAGCCCATAGATTCTTAGCATGGCTTGTTTGAAAAATTCTACCCGCACTGGGTAACCTGCACTTGTCTTTGCATAACACCAACCAGCTACTGATTATCATGAAGGAATGGCCTTGGTTAGAAAGATGCTCCGAGCAACAAGAGGGCTGCAGAACACGGCCACGGGGAATGCATGCAGGCGGCAGGCCACATGCTGAACTGCCCTCTCATTAATAAAAAAAATTTCCATTGACAGCTGATTAGTGCATACTTATAAATACTTACAGATATTCATTTCATATATACTTATTTTAACGTGATTCATTTGAATTTCTATATGGAAACTTTCTTCTTCAAACAGTGAACATATAACAATTAATTATAAGTCTACATTATTTATGAATAAGTTTGAAAGCTTGAGCCTCAACGTAATTTTTTTTTAGAACCCATTGTGTACATAATGCAAGACGCTAAGTGGTCCATTTAAATGCAATACACTTTTGTTTCTTATATTGAAACCTTCGGATGAGTACATGCTCCACAGCCCCTTGTTCCTACAGCGGTACCCAAAAGAAACAATACAATTCTGAGGTTTAGAGGTACCATTCTGTAAATTTCATCGTGACGGCTAAGCAACTTTTAACTTCTACTGGTTTCTATTAAAGATACCCTAGCTTTACTGATTATTTCAAGTGGACCAGACCCCAACCTCAGAATGGTTCCAAATGTCACATAAATATTACTAGGAAGGAGCTAAGAAAGTCATGTTCCACAGATGCTACCCATCTGTTTCTGGCAACTACTAGATATCACATTCATTGCACAGCAATTGCATCCCATTTCAATGACACTGCAACAAAAACTTCCCTCATGTTAATATTGTACAGCAATGTTTTTCTCATTTTATTATGGTGTGGGGAGTGGGGAAAGAATGCATTGTATTAATAGGAAATGTTAAGGATGAGATGCTTAAAGATATCCACACGTACCTGAAGACGAGTGAAAATGCCTGACTTCTGATTTCCAAATCCATACATGCAAAATGAACATAAGGGTTTCTCTCCACTCTCTTCATAAAGAGTTTGCTCAATTTCCCAGTCAAATTCTTCTTCCTCCTCCACATGATCTTCATGTTCTGCACCTGAAGTTTCACAGTTAGCAAAAATTGCTATTAGGAAAATATGTAGCCTTCCTATTAGGAAATTACTTCTTAAAATTCCTCTTTTCTTGATTTAATCAACCTCTTCATTCAGAAAGTAAAATTAAGGTTTAAGATCAACCAGAGCTGCATATGTCCATTCAACAGAATGTCCAGCAGAAGAACTGGGAAAACAACAACAACAATAGCAGCAACAACTATAACAATGTAATAACTATGGGATAGCTGCAGTAAAAAAGTGTCAGTGTTCTGGTATGGATGGAACTTCAGGTCCAGGAAGAATTAAGCATGGAAAGAAAACAGTTGGTCCTGGAAGGCATTATGAACACTAACAAATCACACAGTTCAGATGGTATCCATACTAGAGTTCGTGAAGAGCTCAAATATGAAATTGCTGACTTTCTTTCCAAAATACGTAACACACATGTAAGATCCGCCTCTTTAACAGAGGAATAGAATATGGCCAAAGTAACACCATTTTTAAAAATGACATTCAGGGAGATCCACAAAATTACAAAAGGTTTTTGATAAAGTCCCTTATCAAAGACTCCTGAGCAAATATAGCAGTCATGGAATAGGATGCAGGGAGATAGTCCTCTTATGGATCAGTAGCTGGTTAAGGAACAGAAAGCAGAGAGTGCAAAGAAATGGTGACTTTCCTCATTGGAAGGATGTAAACAATGGGGTCTCATGGGATCAACATTTTTCAATCTATTCATAAATGATTTAGAATTTAATGTTATCAGTAAAGTGACCAAGTTTGCTGATGACACCAAACTATATAGGGTAATTAAGATAAAAATGGATTGTGAGGTGCTCCAAAGGGTTTTTCCCAAGCTAGGAGAACAGGCATTAAGTTGTAAATGCTGTTCAATGGAAGCAAAAGTAATGCATTCTGGGGCAGAAAATACCAACTTTAAGTATGGGCTTGGAGTACAATTAAGTATGCTCAATAATTAAGTATGTTCTCAACTATTGGCCATTGCCAAAACAAGGTTATGTATTTATTTACATGATTTATATACTGCTCTGTATTCCATTACGGAAATTTTGAAGGAGTAAATAATAACAGATAAAACATTATGTTAAAAACAGGATCAATAAAAGTATATTGATAACATGATTCCTAAATAAGTGTCTTTTGTAGGTCCTGAAAAAAAGGCTAGGTTGATGTCCAGAAGAAGGGAATTCCACAGAAATGAAGCCACTGTGCCCAAGACAATCTTCTTCTGGTAGACTCCTATCAAGCCATAGGCCTATATGTTACTATGGAGACAAACCATCCTAGGACTCAATGATTTCAGACTGGTAATAGAGAAAGTACGCTCTCAGGTATCTTGGTTCCAAGTTGTTTACAGCTTTATACACTAGTACCAAAAGCAGCAGCCAAAGCAGTTCCGTCAACAATGGAGATGCACTCTGAAAAGGGTCAGCTCCTAACAATTGTTGAGCTGCTATATTCTGCACTAGCTCGTTTCTGGGTCAGCCTTAAGGGCAGCCTCACAGAAAACACACTGCAGTAACGTAGTCTTAAAAGAAGCATTAGATGTGATATTCCACCAGCAATTAGCCAACTTAGCTAAATTCTTATTAAAGAAATGCTATGGTATTCAACAGACACAACAATACTCCCCTCTTAAGATCCAGTGTATCACATTTATTCACCAATATTATTTGTAAACATGCATTGTTAGTTGATATAAAATGATCGTCCTGCCTGTATAGCTGTTCGGTGAGCTAGCATGTCAAGTCACCTGTGCTAAGCTGGAAAGGCATGGGCCGGCAGCCGGAAGGGTGACCCTAAGTGGAAGCAGAGCAGGGGGTTGGACTCAGTGTCTTTATAGGCCCCTTTCAGCCCTACTACTATTTTATTCTACTCATGCTTCCAGTCGTGGAGGAGACTCTAAAATGGCAGAGCCAAGCCTAGATTCAAACAAATGCTGCAGTTGAGAGTATTGGCATTTAGCTATAGAAGATAAATCATATTTCGCATGCAGAGCCAAGAGTGACAAAAACTCAACAACAGCACTAACTTGATCCAAGTTAAAGTCAACTTATCCAGTTCTCCCACAAAAAACAATTTCTTACCAGTTTTTAAATCTGAATTTTCCCATATAATCAGTTTAGCATGAGAAAATGTATCAAGTGTAATTGATGTGGCATTTTAGAAACACAGCCATAAATGCTAGAAGAACCGTTTCCATTTGAAGGTGTCAGGAGCCTAATGCCATCCATTTGGAGAGAGAATCCAGACTGGAAGATTTTGAAACCAACCAAGATAGAAAATTGAACATAAGTGGTGAAGTCCAAAATATAGTAAAGGTCAACAAATAGTCCTAGTCATAAAAAGAAAGGTTTAGAAAGTCAAATCATCTTCCTTAATGAGAAGGTGTACATTTTTCAAGGATATTCATGGTGGGGAAGACCCTCCTCCACATGGGCACATACACAAATTTACAAAACAAAGCATTGAGTTTTTGAAAGAGGACTCTCACACAGAGACAAACTATCTGAAGAGTAATATTTACCTTATCATTTACCTTATCCAACAAACTCATCTTTAAATATGTCTATCTCCTATGAGTTCCTATTAATCACCTTACTCAAATTAGTTGGATCAATTGGAAGTATTTCTCTGGGAACATGCATTCCCACATAATAACATCTGGGCACCATCAATGTTGCCAATACACAATGAGACAGAGCATTTTCCATCTGGCATCAATTCAGCCTTTGACCAGTTAAACTGAATAGCCAAACAAATCACCAAAAAGTATTGATGCGCTGTTTCAAAGCTGGAATGGTATTCTTAGATAAGCAATAAATGATTATCAGAACAAAGTTTAAAGTCTAACAGCCATGCACAGAGCCATGAGTACTTCAGTTCTGTCATATAAGATGCCAGGATTCCAATCATAAATGGAGAAAGTGGAATACCTCTGTCTGGTACCTCTGCCAAGTGAAAAGAAAGCTGAGAAGCAACTACTAGCTCTCGGGCTTCAGTTTATCATTATGCAATCCCTACAATGCCTGTATGTAACCTTTTGCATCTCTTGATAAAGTTGAGCAGTTGGGCAAATAAAAAACTGGACTCTTATTTTAACTTATTAAAAATGTTTTATTTACTTATTTATTTCCTCTGGAAAGCACAGATGATAATTTGGTTCTTTCAAGCGCTTTACTAGCCTCCCTTCAATGGTACAAACATCAACAACATCCTATTAATGTTAAAATACTAACTCAGCAGAAAAGTGATTATTAAACATCTTGCTTCCATCCTTTAACAGGGACAGCAGCAGCCAGTGAAGATCCCTGCCAAGCAGAGACTTTTTCAATCTGTCTTCCCTGGGTGCTCTGTTTCTTAAGGCTCACACAGGACGAGAGATGCGTTTTCTTGGCTCAGGATGTAGATGTCTAGGGAGAGGAAGGTCTCTTTTTCATTGCTGGAGGGCAAGACAGCCTGACATGACTCATAGCTATTGTACCTTCTGGTTGGGACTAGAGCTGGATTTCCAGGCTGTTATCTGGGCTTGTAACTCGTATTTTGACTGGGTTTACATGCAGCGGCAAGGAGAGCCAAAGTGGCATAGTGTTGGGTCAGAATTGGGGAGATCCGGATTCCAGCCCTCAAGTCACTAGGTGACTTCCGGCTAGTCACTGACTCCCAGCCAAACCTACCTCACAGGGTTGTTGCGAGGATCAAATCAGGAAGAGGAGGATTATGGAAGCCACCTTGGGTTCCTTGCAACAGGAAAACAGCAAAATAGAAATGGAACAATCAGAATAAGACGTTAGTCCTGGCTTGGTGGGAGACTGCTGCTAAGGGTACTTCAGTTTTGTTGGGATTTCTCTTTCCCGGTGTTTTGAAAGTTCAGAAGAGAAGTCCTAGGTTCTCTTCCCAACCAGAGTCTATGGGAAGGGGGCTGCATACACACATCATAAACAGAAAGACAGGTAGCGATCTCAGGTAGAACATAATTTAGCAGTTAAAGCACCACAGGCAAAGATGATGAAAGGGGCATAGCTCACTGGCAGAGCACCTGCTTTGCATGCAAGGGGTCCTAGGTTTATGTCCTGGCATCTTCAGGTAAGAATAGGAAAAACTCACTGAAAACCTGGAGAGATGTTTTTAGCAATAGACAAAACTGAGCTAGATGGACCAGAGTCAGACTCCGTACAAGGAAGCTTCCTGTGTACTGATCACCAACAATGAGCATCAGCAACCTATACAAAACATTGCATGCCTGTTTACAAGGAAAAGTTGGACAGTATAAGTTTAAACACAAAGACATACTATATTGCTGTACACAAACAGTCCATAAACCAATTTTTAATTAAAATCATACAAACCTATCTCTTCTACTAAAGGTTTTGCTGATCTGGATTTCCTTGGTGCTAAGAGAGCTGTTAACATGTCTAATCCTTCAAACACCTCTCCAGGAGTCTCCTTGGGAAGGCGGATTGTAAATATTCCTTAAAAGAAAAGAACATAATTAACAAAGGAATGTCTTCATTTAAAGACAGATAGTTACAATGTTCTATAAGCTACAAGGGTGTTTCAAAAAGTAAGAGCAACATTTTTGGCAATGCTAGGTCAAAAACTTCTCTCATTTTGGCATGCATAAGGAGGCCTCCAAGTCATGTTTCCCCATTCATTAATGCTTCCTCATATTCAAAATGCAGCAGGTAGGGGCTCTGGCAATTCAAGAGTATCTTCAATTTTCCACCCTAACATATGAAAGACTAACTTGTGCATCTTCCAAGTAGAAAGATGCAGATGTCACCTCCGCACCTAGAGCCTGCACATGTCCAAGTACCACTTTCAGTGGTAAGAGGCAACACGCCATCTTCCCATGTCATGAGACAGAGCTCTACCTAAAATTCATCTTTAAAGATGCAACTCTATCAGTATCTAGACAGATAAAAGTCCAACAACTCCCAGAAATTGTGACTTGCTCAGGAACATTGGAAATTGTTCCAATTTCTCCTTTTTCTTTCCAAACCTGCATAGTATTTCACCTTTAATCATTGCCAGATCTATCTTCCATAAAAATCCAGTGCCAGGAGAAAAGAGATGCATTGCAGAAGTTATTCCTAAATATATAATGTCACACAGCACATTCCAATAGATAAGACCCTGTCTGAATCTATTTGTGCAGAGAAATTCCTAACATGTGAACCAACCTCACTTTCTGTCTAGCAAGCACAGACCTCTTTACATATGTTACTTATCTCTATAAAGTGAGACATTTTAAATAAAATGCACCAAGCAGCTATTACAGAAAACTATATTTTATAGCACTGATGGAATTGGAAGGTAATCCAACAGCTGCAACATGAGAGAGTCGAATGAAAAGAAAGACTAGCAAAAGAAAGTGACAAAACATCTTTAAAACCTGTGTCATCATATGATGCTGTCTCTCTTCCATCTTCCACAATTCTTCCAGGAAGAACCAATCTGTGGATAACAATTAATGTAATCAAATAGTGGCATTAAAATAATGGGCAACTAATGCATGCCTGCTCAGCTTTGGCAAACCAAACTGCATATAGACTGCAATTAAAACACATTCAAATTGCAAAGCGTGCAGATTAAAGAAGGGAGCAAGCAGAGGAGGAAATGACAAGAATGGGAAGAAATACTGAAATCCAACTGCCAGGATATGAAGAAGTATACATCTTGTGCCTTGTAGCCATGAATGCAACATGCTAAAGCCCCATTCGTCTTGTGCTTATGCCTGCCTTCTCTTCTGCTTTCTCACGACTTAAGAGATATTACCTGCCCACTTCAAGAGTAAGTGCTAAATAACTTGCTTTTAAAACAAATCACAAAAGCTATACATCCAAGGACACCCAGTTCTGCTCCAAATACTCCTGCTGACATGTAGAATATGAGGGCCACACATGAAAGACAGCGAGGCCTCATGTCTGATGCCACCACAGCCCTGAAATCATGAAGTTACTGCCACCAGGCATTCCAACAGGCCACATGAAGGGGGTTAAGAGGGGGAAGCAGGCCCATTCCACCATCTCTACAGAGATAATTTTTTGCTTGCCCCTCCATTCCTTCTTCCCGTGTGTCATGTCTTTCTAGGCACAGACTGTCTTGTTTAACTGATTATATGCAAGATGCTCTGGGAGCCTTTTTAGCAAAAGAGAAGGATAAAATATTGTAAGAGCAGAATCCTATCAGTGCTCATAAGCTCTCAATGCAAGAGATGATTATAAGCATCCCAAGCAGTGCAATAGAAGTAGCAGAGCCAAGCTTTGCTTACTGTACCTCTCATCCTGCGCTTTAGCCATTTTCAACCATTCAGCCAATGTTCTTTGGAGCGGGAGAGAAGGAAGCTAGAGTGCCATCAGGACACCACCAGTCTCCTGCCATCCCGGCCCCCAGAACACCCTTTAAATGCATTCTCTGAGATTGCTTTCCCAACCTTAGAGAGGCAGCCAGCATGGTTCTTTCCATGCTGGGTGCGGAGGCTGGAAGAGGGGATTGGAGCAGATTCCCAGCTCCAAGGTCAGAGCTCCATTTCTGCCCTTCAATACAGGAATCCAAATTATCCTATGGCCCCCTAATGATGTGTAGGTGGCCACAGGAGTGCTTTCTAAATAAATAAAATAAATGATGGTAGACATACATTTCAGCCCCACACCATCATCTGTAATAGATTTAATACTGACCTCTCCTACTGTTGCAAGAATGACTGAGAATGCATGTTTAACATTTTTTTACAGTGTTGTCTAAACACCAAGTATATTATTTCAATTCTGTACATACAGAATGCAGCCATATAAATCCTTAGTGTAACTAGACTGAAGTGGATTCTGTGATTAGGAGCACCTTTTATCAGCTTAGGCCGATTTACCAACTGTGACCCTATCTGGACAGGCAGAGCCTGGCCACAGCGATCCATGCATTGGTAACTTCCCATTTGGATTACCGTAACGTACTCTAAGTGCGGGCACCCTTGAAAATGGCTGAGCAACTAGCTGATCCAGAACAGAGCAGCACTGCTGTTCACGAGGACTGGCTCATGAGATTGCATCTCACCAGTCCTCCTTCAGCTACACTGGCCGCCAGTTGAAGTTTGGGCCCAATTTAAAGTGCTGATGTTAACATTTAGAACCCTAAACAGTCTGGGGCCCTGTTATCTGAAGGAACAGCCTGTTCCATATGTTCCTATTTGGGTCCTAAAATCATCCAAGGAGGTATTTCTCAGGGAACCACCCTCAAAAGAAGTAAAGGGGTGATGGCTAGGAGAAGGGCCTTGTTAGCAGTTGCACCCCATCTCTGGAACATGCTTCACAAGGAGGTGCACTTGGTGCCTTCCTTGTTTTCTTTTCAGTGCCAGGTGAAAACCTTTCTATTTGCCAGATATTTTAACAGATAACACTTTTAAAATCTTTTTATTATATGCTATGCCATGTACACATTTTTATTCTAATTGCTGTAGGTTGTCTGAAGGTTGGTTTTAATGTTTATTGTTTTTGTTTATTTAAATATTATTATTGCATTGGTTGTTATGTATTTTAAAATTGGACAATGCCCAGAGAACCCAATGGGCTATGGGGGAGTATATAAATCTAATCAATTAATCAATCGCTATCCACAGTAAGCAGACATTGGACAAATTTGGTAAGCGTATGCCACAGCAAGCTCACCTATCTCTTTTCTCCTTTCATTTGCAAGAGGAAAAATGGGATTTTTTTATTTATTATTTGAAATGAGCTACTGTTTTTCATTTGCATCCACAAGTGGTTAACATCTTCAGGATGAATCCTGAGAATCACTACAGCACATTCTTGCAAAAAACGCCCACAAGGTCTATTGTTATGTCTGACTTCAGCCAATGTGTGATATCAGAATCTATTCTACCATAAAATATTTTCTGCCATGTGCAAACTTGTTCCCACACTGAGAGAAATGGTCATGAACATAATCTACAAAACATACCACTAGAAATTAAATTCCACCTAAAGAGTGACATTACTTACCTAAGAAAGTAAGGTTTTGCATAAAATTTGAACTCCTTCCCTTCAAAATAGACATCAAACTCTGAAACTCGTGCATAAGGTACTTTGATAGTGATTGTAAGATAATCTGGATCCTGAGTCAGTTCAAACGCTGGCGTTATCATCCTGGATAGTTGGAAGACCACTGCCTGCAAAATTAGGTTAGGGAAACAAAAAAAAAAAACACCACACTTGAATGCTGTTTTGTAGTTAATTAACTGGTGGACATCTATTCTAATCAGCAAGAGCAAATTGTAATTTGTGGGGCTGGGATTAAAGTCCAGCTTGTTTAGTAACTTTAAGCCATTTTGGTCCCAATGCATTACCTTAACTTTACAGTGAGCAAATTTCCACTGCATTTTCTTCCATCATGGTAAATAATGCTCCCAGCCAGTCTTCCATCCAGGCCCTGATCAGACCCAGACCTGTTTAAGTTTTATTTAGCAAGGGGGCTGTATGGCATGCCCTCAAGACCATGCCCTGAGACATGAATGAACATTTTAGAAAATCATTACTCATAAGAAGGAATATAATCATGCAAGAAAAGGTTCTCCTGGACTACAAGTCTGACAGCTAAATGCTGTTCTGAGCAGTTTTCAGCTGCAGAAGAATCCAGTGCAGTCTCCCCAAACACAATGCATCAGCACCTCCCAGAATTCCCCTAAAGGAAATCAACAAAAAGTAATACTTGTATTCCCAACTGCACTATAAATATATGCATATTATGTATCCAGCTGCACATTATTATACACCAGTCCCTGGAGAATGCAACTGAGAAGGTGCTATTGGGGGCTTTCCACGGGCAGCTCGCCCGCCACTGTGTGATCAGAAAGGTGAGCTAGATGAGCATCCAGCACTTGCAAATTTCAGAAAGCGCCCGGTGTCTTGGAGCCTGTGTTTATACTTCCCCACGTACGTCCACAGGAAAGGCTTTCCAATCCGAAGGTGAAAGCGAGGGGTGGGCGAGGCGCTTTTCAGGGCACGTAAGAGGCCGCTTCACACAGCCTCTGAGCGGGGCGGGGGGGGGGGGGGTCCATGCCAAACCACTCTTAGCAGGCTGCCTCCCTCCCTTTCAGAGCGACAGCAAAAGTCTTGCGATGTGTTGAGCTGCGTGCAACCGGTGGGAAGCGGCCCCCTACGACTCCGAGCTCCAACGCCGACAGAACCGCATTCCCCAAATACCCCTCCCGTCATCCCCAACCAGAATGGCCAACAGAGGCAGGTACAGAGGTACCCGGAAGGCTCCCACCATTAATTCCACCCCACTCAACCAGCCCCTTGCTCGGCCCCATAGCGCTGCTCCCCCATCTGCCCCCGCCTCAGCCCGTGCGCCACTGGGCTCTCTCCGGGAGAGAGGGGCGGGCGCGAGAGGCCCAGTAAACACCCAGAGCCAACACTCACCCCCGACACTGCCGCGCTCAAGCTGCCCCACGCTGCCCCGCACGCGCCTTCAGACTCGTTCCCCTCCTCCAGCCCATGCCCACCCGTCCTGATAACGCAGAGACTTTCGATTGGCTGCAACCTTCTGTCAATCGTCTTCCGAAGTTGAAAAGGGAACCCACGGAGGCGGGCTGAAGAGGGGAGCGGTAAGCTTATTGGTAGAACTCATCCAATCGCAAGTCTTCGGGAGAGCAAAGGCGGGACCGGGGCGGCGGAGAGACGGGGCACGGGGAACGGAGTGCGCCCACGTGACAGCTGCCCGCGAGCGGAGGGGAGCGTCACTGCTGCCGCGCGACTGCGCCGCCGCTGAGCGACCGCCTTCCCCGCTTGCGGCAAGGGGCCTCTGGAGGGTGGCCGCTGCGTTTCTCGTTGCCTGGCTGTTTGCGGCGTTGCCAGCCAGGCTGCAACGAGGCAAAGCAGCAAAGTTGGCCTTCTGTCTAGCTAATGACGTGAAAATAATGCAAGCCGCCGTTAGGGCTGTGTCGAGGCCGGTGCCTGCTGTGCCCTTGGGGTGCCGTTTCCATTGCAGCTTTTATTCTAAACTTTATGGGAACTATCCATGGTGCTGAAGGGCATCCGCAAACTAGCTTCGTCAGCATGGCACTCCTATAAAGCTTAGGATAGAAGGTGCAATAGATAAGGATCCCCACTGACATCGGATTCTCCAGTCTCCTCTGTCCCCGGACTAAGGGCACCCGGATGACAGGGCTTATCGGTCTCCAACAAATGGCTGTGCTTTTTGGGCTTGATGGGAGCTGTGGGACCATTGGAAGTGCCCACTACGTGAGAGTGCCAAGACGACATCCAGAGGGAAACCTCAGTTCAACAATCTCAACACTTTGAAGCTCACTGAGCAACTTTGGGCCAGGTGCTGCCACTTAGCCTGACCTACTTCACAGGGTTGTTGCGAGAATAAATTAGGGAGGACCATATATGCCGGTTTAAGCTTGTTATATGATAGAATTCAAGGCACACTTAAAGGAAGCCCCTTTGACTAACATGAAACATGGGCCTGCAAGTCCCTTATGTATCAGTGGAACATATTTCTCAATTTAGGTTTTGATTGCAAAATGCAGCTTATGTCTCTCTTCCATTTAAAATAATTTAAATGCAGGTCTCACTGATAAAGCAGATGACTGTCATACTTACCTTGTTGACTGTTGGCGTCCATGTTATCTAGAGCTGTCGTTGACTGTTGGAACTTTGGTTCTTACCAATACACTGCCACCTGCCTAGTGATGGTGGTGTGCTGGCAGAAACACCAGTTTTCCCAGCCCCAGTTCAAGAGACAAGTCATAGTTGTGGCTTCAAATGGCTCAAAGAATATCTCCTGCTTTTTTCTTATTTTTAGTCTGCTTGTCTGCACAAGCACTTTCACGTAGTTTAAAACAGTATTTTAAAAATGCAATATCAAGTAAAACAAAATGAAAGCAGATGTAGTAGATGAAATAACTAAAACCCATTTTAGTTCAAAATGATTTCCCATACCTAAAAGGTAACAGTGGTGCCAAGCAAACATGCCTAGCAAGAGTTCTATAACTTGGGCATCCCCGATTCCTTAGCAGTCACTCCCTGTTACATATTGTTTTAAAATACCCTAAGAAGCTCAATACTGTTACTTCGTGTGAGTTGCTTTCAGTCTTCCTCAGTGGGGCTGATAGGAGTTGTAGTCCAACACACCTGAGGGACACCAGACTGAAGACAGTTGGGTCAGATTATTGTCTACCAAGTAAAGGCCTCCTTTGCAGTATTCCCAGGGCTTTGAAATGCATTTCCCAAAGAAGCTCCTTTGTCCTTTTCATTGTTTTTTTCCCCAAAACAGAGGTATTCTAATATATATGGAGTACCTCTGGAAATGTGTCCATATTTTTTACTGCTGCTTTACCCTGTTGTCTTATTTTTATGGTTTGATACTGCCTTAACTCAAAACAGTAAAAACAGATCTGTTTCTGTATGTAATTTTGCATTTCTTAACTCTTGCAAGTATATGCTGATAAGTCATTTTAGCAAATAAAACAGAATGAACAAAAATAGCATTTGGCATTTCTCTAGTGACCCAATTTTCGGGGATTCTGACAAGGTCAAGAAAAAAAAGTGGGGCAGGTTTTTTTTAAACAACTATTCTTTTAAGAATGCTACCCAATATTAGTTTAATTTTACTATTGCTATTTGGTAGAAAAAAGATTGAAAAATATTTCTCCTCCCAGCAAAGATGTATAAAATTGTTATTCGAGATGTTAGGTTGGGGGAGTGGATACAGTCTGTGTACTTCTAAATTAGCTACAAAGGGACACTTTTTTTTTTTCAAAAAATGAACCAGAGTTGCTTTTCAGGAATATACACGTGTTCTTGAGAAGAAAATTACTTTTTGTTTGTTCTTAAATAGCCTACTGTCAGGCTTTGGACATATAGTACCGAGGATGCTTTTCCATACTTTGGACTCACCTTTGATTCGAACAGACTCGGCTTGCAAGACAATGCAATCATTGCTGATGAAGATACATTTTCACATGGTTATACTGGGAGACAGTATCAAAGTACCCCCATCACTCTAAGAAGTATGATCCAAGAGCTGCTTAAAAGGTCTTTGGAGATTAGAATATAAAATGAACACTGTTGAGAAAAAATATATAATTCTTCATTCTCCCATTTACTAAAAGCCAGAGTTTCCTTGGTGCGTGTGGGCACACTAAGGGCTGCTGCTTCTCTCATATGCCCTGAGGGATGTACTGCTAATCTAATGTTCCTTTATGTGATCTTGTTTTCCAGGTCATTGATTTAATTTCTCAGGACTTTATAGGCTATAGTTGCTTTACTCATAGTAGTATTATGACCATCCATTGATATTTTTCTAGCTTTTAAAAAAATTATTTCTGGCCCACTTCAGTCTTTATCCAAATCCCTGCTTGATCCCTGCAGATAAAATCTAGAGAGCTGAATATTTCCATTTTGTATTAGTTTTTAGAAGGAAGTCTAGGTTTTTGACATTCAGTAGATACCACTCACTGAAGCATAAAACATTCTAGACCGTGGGCTAAACTTTGAAATTTCAATTATTTATTTATTTAAAACTTTTCTATCCCATCCTATTACAGAAAGTCTCAGGACGGTCCTACAGTAGAAAGCATAGCATCACATCCTTTTTAAAACCTGAATTAAAATAGCATTTAACCCTTAAAATGCTGGGAAAATAAAAAGATTTTGGCCTGGTGCCAAAAAGAATAACGTATAATAAATAAATTTAATGGCAGCAGGTTGAAAGTGACTGAAGTTAAAGAAACTATTGCCATTCACTTTACCATATACTGACACAATAATCCTGAGCATGTTTGCTCAGAACTATTGGGGAATCCTTCACCCACAATATTTGCCATGGGGAAGAGATGCACCACTAGTACACCCACCTGGCCAGTGTGTACACAGCATAGGAGGAAAGAGCAACACACAGACACACAATATACAAAGACAATGTAAAACAGCAGACATGCCCACAGCATCTTTGGAAATTCATCCAAGACATACTGATTGGGTACTGTGTTAATGATCCCTCCCTGCCCTTCTCAAGAACTCTTTCAGAGCACAGGACACACAAAAATAAGGCAGGAAAGACACTACACACACACAAACACACACAGAGCCCCCTAGGGAAGGGCTCTGCAGAGGGCAAACACTGCAAGGAGCCCTTCCGCAGGCCCAGTGCTTTTGGCAACTCTGCCTGGGCATGGTGACTGGGGGCATTCACAGGATTCAAGATGCTGTAGGAATGCAGGAAACGACTTGCAGTCAGCTGGAGCAGCTGGGATCCATGACAAGGACACCCAAGGCTCTTCTGCGTGAGGCATTCACTGTGCACTCCTCATTCTCGGCTCACAGTTATTTGTGGGTTCTTCAGCTGAAATCATGATCTTCCAGATTCACTTCTTTGTCTAGCAGGTGCTTTCACAGGATGTTTTTGGGGCCAGGAAAATGTGGCATCCAAAGAAGAAGGTGAAAGAAACCACCTTTTCACCATTTTTATCTGTGCTATTCAATAAAGTGGAAAAGCAGGAAAGGAATTGCGCTGAAATTAGAAGTAGAAGCAGTGGATTAATGGCAGATTAACAGCTCCCTGTAGAAGAGCTCACACTAATGGCACTGGCCTCCAATGGCTCGCTGCATAGGACACAGGGCTGAGAAATGGAAGATAAACTCGAGCCATGCCAATGGGAAGTGAGGAAATTCTCCCACTAATTTTTGCATGTCTGACCACAAAAACAGTTGTGTTAGGCACAAAACAGAAGGATCTGCAACCCTTGATACAACCTCAGTCACATCCTGGGGCGTCTGTCTCCCCACTCTTGCCACAGCTCCCGGTCTCAGGGGCTAGTCACAGGAGCCAGGAGCACAGAGGCTGCAGCGGGAACCCACGCCAGGTGAAACCATTTTGCACTGGGAGGTCCCTGGTCCCATGCAAGGTAGGGCCCCACAGCAGAGAAGGAGGGCTCACTCAGGCAAACATCAGGAGCAGTGCTGCTACAGCACGGACCAGCAGCCCATTCCCTAAGGGTCACTGAGCCTTTTGGCCCACACTCCCACGGGACAACCCACATGACAGCCCCCATGCTTGCAGGTAGGCTGGCTTCACTGAATGATGTATGTGCAGGGCTCCTTTCCCTCCCCACCACCATCTCATCCTTTGCCGGCTTCATACACTCTGGCAACTGATCCTCCTCCGTGCCTTGGGCAGTGACTCAGGGACCAGCAGGGTAGCAGGAGCAGCATCCCTTACAGCACCATCTCCTTCGCTCATGCAGCTTGCCCAGGTGTGCTGCAAGCACAGTCCATTTGGTGCAAAAAGGCCCGTTTTCCATAGTCTTCCATTCCAGGAGTTCCTCCTTGTGTGCTCTGAGCATGCGTGCCAAGTGCAAGAATCAGGGAGATGTACATCCCCTGCCATATGCACGACCATCTCACTTGTGGCTTCACTGCATGGAGATCTCATACTGGTGATGGTATGCTCTGACTGGGTGCTGAGTTTCCTGTGTTCAGTCATGGCAACATGGACATCGGTAGG